GAAAATTTGAGTAACTGATTCTTTCACCAACTAGGAAGGTTAACCACCTAGGAAGGCAACTATCTAATACATGTGTATGGGCTAAATACAATTTTTTCTCCTGTTCTGTCCTTCCAGACTGGTACTGTGAAACTGACAAAGCCAGTGGCACTCTGGACACAGCAGGATGTCTGCAAGTGGTTGAAGAAACACTGCCCTAATCAGTATCAAATCTACAGTGAGTCATTCAAACAGCATGACATAACTGGTAAAGTATGCAGTATCAGAAATATTTAACTTATTTTTAAAAGAGAAAATTGATTTTTAACTCTGCTCTTAAATAGATTATGACTATGTAACAAGGACCTGTCATTAGTTGTTTTTATCTGAAATGGTTGTACATTTCAGAGTGGCGAATATACACTAGCTCGTATCAGTACTGGTGAGCTAACTTCCTTCTGTTACTCTAAAACAGACTAGGGGTTAGGAAGGGCTGAAATCAAGACTGGGGGAGAATGACGCAATAGATCTTGATAGACTGTTTAGTCATATTCTTGTCAATGAGGGCTGGGAATAACCTGAAATTCACATTTTGTGGGAAATTCCACATTTTTTTTTTCATTCTGAATCAAAGCATTGACATGTTGACATTTTCTAGGGAAAAAATCATTTTGAAAAAATCAAAATTACATTTTATTTATCCTTTATTGAAATGTTTCATTATGGGAAGTTTCAAATGGATTGATTTGACTTTATCAGCTTGACTTATAGAATCATAGAAGGGTAGGGCTGGAAGAGAGCTCAAGAGACCATCAAATTGTTCCTCAAGCACAGGGCAGGTGAAACATACATAGAGATCTCCAACAGATATTTTTCTAACGTACTGTTAAAAAGAACAACGCACTGTCTCCTCTAGTAGCTTGTTCCTGTTCTTCTAGTGACGAAGTTTTTCCTAATATTCAACCTAATTCATTTTTGCTGCAAATTAAATTGATTCCTCCCTATCCTATCCCAAATGTACATGAAGGACAATAGATCATTATTTCCTTCTTGACACCTTATACATAGGGATCTACTCAATTCACAATTTCACGATTTTTTCAAAAACCACGAAGAAAGGTAGTTTCAGTGATCAGCATGAAAACTGGATTCCCTGCGATTTTTTGTGGAATTGCCCCCCCCCTCCCCTCCCCTCCC